AAATAAGAAATCAAAAAAAAGAGCAATAAAAAAAAAAATTATAAAAAAAAAAAAAACAAAAAAAAAAAAACAACAAACAAACACAAAAACTCGAGTATATGGCCCAACAGCAAATTAACTGGTTTGGCAGTTTGGTCAGAATGCCTGTCAATCAGCCTGTACTGTAAGGCCACAATAGCCCGCTCTCGTGTTTCATGGCCAGAGGAAGACTATTAAGGCGGTGGATCGACACTTTTAAGGGCTACAAAATGAAGCTGTAGCGTGCCTCACATCTTGCAGGAGATCTCCAACTGCACCTCCTCATGACCCCTCTTCGTTAGACAGAAGAAGAAAATGAAGCAAAAGCAACAAAAAACATGTTTTAAAAAAAAATGCGAAGTGTTCATTACAATTATTTATGTATAAGTATGGACCAAAAATGAACGGAACATACAACGATGCAATTAACTTAAAAACCGTTTTGTTGCCAAGAGAGTCAAAATGGGTTTGAGAGTAATTTACAAAGCGTGGAAGTAAACATTTCTTTGATACTCCAGTTGATCAGATCCGTCGCTTATAGCTGCCAGTCCTTGTCTGGAAATGCTCATGAAGCTATCTACAAGCTCTGCCCCGATGGCTTTTCTGAGGATGTCATCTTGTTCCAACGCAGCCATGGAACCCTCGGGTGTCCTGGGGATGGGCGGTGCTGCCTTGTCCCCCTGGAGAGGACAGTTCAGCTTCTTGGCGAGACCGTCCATTCCCGCGGCCAAGGTGGCGGCCACAACCAAGTACGGGTTGGACGCGCTGCTGGGCAGGCGGTTCTCCATGTACACGTTCCTCTTCTCAGTCTTGACGCGCAGGAAAACGGAGCGGTCTTCCACGCCCCATGTGGCTGACTTGGGGCACAGGACATCAGCCAATCGGCGATAACAGTTGATGGTGGGGCATAGTAAGGCGGTGAGTGCCGGGGCGTGGCTCACTAGTCCAGCGATCCAATGCCGCGCCGTGTCAGACAAGAGGACGGGGTCGTCGGCGTTGAGAAAGGCGTTCTTTCGGTCGGAGGTCAGCAGGGAGTGGTTAAAATGGAAGCCGTTGGCGTGCCCCTCGGCGAGTGGGCAGGCCATGTAGGTGGCCACCATCCCATTTTTGCCCAGGTTAGTTTTAACCCCATCCTTCATTACCATGATGGAGTCGGCGGAGGCCACGCCCTCTTCCGGTCGGAAAGTCAGCTCAAACTGAGCCGCGGCGAATTCGGTCATGAAAGATTCCAAAGGAAGACCCGCCTCTTCAAGCAACTGACAGGTTCCGAGCAAGGCGTGCTCCCTCCCAGACATGTTGTCGGTCCTGGCATAGGGCTCAATGAAAACATTGTTGAACGGGGTTACCTCATCTTTCTGGAGAGGAGGAAAATATGATTTATATAAAAAAAGGATAAATATATATTTTTTATTTATGTTCGAGACAGTGGCGGTGCTATGGTAAGTGCCCCCCCCCCGTGACATTTTTTTTGCCGCCCCCTTCCACGAAAGAAAAATCCCATGCAGTGGGCTGAAAATGACAACCACATACAAAGAAATAAGTAACGCCGGGGATCGCCTCCCCCCCCCCCC